CCAGCCCGCCCTCACCCCCTCCCCTGCCCCGCATCTACAAGCCCTGCTTCGTCTGCCAGGACAAGTCCTCCGGGTACCACTATGGGGTGAGCGCCTGCGAGGGCTGCAAGGTGAGAGCTGCCACTGGCCCCATGGGTCATGAAAGCCCCCGGGCCAGGGCCACCGTCCCCATGGGTCCCTGGGCTGGGCGCTGATTGGGGTTTTTGGGGTCATCATCCCCCCCCCCAGGGCTTCTTCCGCCGCAGCATCCAGAAGAACATGGTGTACACGTGCCACCGGGACAAGAACTGCATCATCAACAAGGTGACGCGGAACCGGTGCCAGTACTGCCGCCTCCAGAAGTGCTTCGAAGTCGGCATGTCCAAGGAGTGTGAGTGAGGACAGGGATGGGATGGGGACATCCAGCCTGGGTCCAGGGGCCGGCCCAGCAGCTCCCACCGTGTGCCCAGGGAGGCCCTGGCCGGGGGAAGATGGGGGACCCCTGGGTTTGTGTCACATCCCCACCGTTGCCCAGGCAACGCGTGATTGATAATGTCAGAGATAAATGATGCCGATGGGGCCTCCTGGTGTCTCGGTGCCAGTTGTCATGGTGCCCGGCGGTACCCCGCAGGGCCGCACCACCGGGGTGGGTGGGTGGGTGACGGGGGGGCGATGGATGCTAGGGGGGGGGGGGGGCAGCTCAGGGAGGGGATCCGGGCCCACAGAGATTGATCCCTGCGGGATGTGGGGCTGCTCCCACTGCTTCTTCCACGCTCCCCCACAGGGAGTGCGGTGCCTCAGCTGCCATTTTCAATCTCTGATGCTTCCCTCCTCTGTATAGGCTTTGTAGAGCAGAGCTGAGCACTGTCCCCATGGCAAGGGATGGGGGTGTCCTGTGTCCCCCCCCCCAGGGCACAGTCATCCCTCATTGCCTCCTAATGCCTTTGGGGGCTTACTTAAAGGAATGCTGTGCAGGGCTGGATGTCACTGCAGCACTGGCGGCGAGGGGGGGGGAAACGACCTCATCCAGAGTGTGTTGGGCCTGAGCCCCCACCTCGGGCAGGGACTGGTGGCCATGGGGCTGGTGACACTGACCCCATTGTCCCTGCAGCCGTCCGCAATGACCGGAACAAGAAGAAGAAAGACGTGCCCAAGCCGGAGTGCTCGGAGAGCTACACCATCACACCCGAGGTGGAGGAGCTCGTGGAGAAGGTGCGCAAAGCCCACCAGGACACGTTCCCTGCGCTCTGCCAGCTCGGCAAATACACTACGGTGAGTTGGTGATGGGGTGGGGGGGGTCCTGTGGGGGGGGCTGCAGCAGCCTCTGCAGTGCCCTCATCCCCTGCCTTGCGCCGCAGAACAACAGCTCGGAGCAGCGGGTGTCCCTGGACATCGACCTGTGGGACAAGTTCAGTGAGCTGTCCACCAAGTGCATCATCAAGACGGTGGAGTTTGCCAAGCAGCTCCCCGGCTTCACCACGCTCACCATCGCCGACCAGATCACCCTCCTCAAAGCCGCCTGCCTCGATATCCTGGTGAGATATCCGGGATGGGGACGGGGATGGGGATGGGGACAGCAGGCTGAGCCCCCAGCCCTCGCTCACCCCCAGATCCTGCGGATCTGCACGCGCTACACGCCGGAGCAGGACACGATGACCTTCTCGGACGGGCTGACGCTGAACCGCACGCAGATGCACAACGCCGGCTTCGGGCCCCTCACGGACCTGGTGTTCGCCTTCGCCAACCAGCTGCTGCCGCTGGAGATGGACGACGCCGAGACGGGGCTGCTCAGCGCCATCTGCCTCATCTGCGGAGGTGAGTGCCAGGACATGGGATGAAGGGATGGGGATGCAGGGATAGGGGATGAAGGGATGGGGATGCAGGGATGGGGGATGAAGGGATGGGGATGCAGGGATAGGGGATGAAGGGATGGGGATGCAGGGATGGGGGATGGAGGGATAGGGGATGCAGGAATGGGGATGCAGGGATGGGGATGCAGGGATGGGGGATGCAGGGATAGGGGATGCAGGAATGGGGATGCAGGGATGGGGATGCAGGGATAGGGGATGAAGGGATGGGGATGCAGGGATGGGGGATGCAGGGATAGGGGATGCAGGAATGGGGATGCAGGGATGGGGATGCAGGGATAGGGGATGAAGGGATGGGGATGCAGGGATGGGGGATGCAGGAATGGGGATGCAGGGATGGGGAATGCAGGGATGGTGGATGCAGGAATTAGGATGCAGGGATAGGGGATGAAGGGATGGGAATGCAAGGATGGGGGATGCAAGGATGGGGGATGGAGGGATGGGGGGTGCAGGGATAGGGGTGGAGGATGCAGGGAGGGGCAGCTGGCCCATTGTCCTGGCTGCACTCCCCAAATGGCTCATCAAGAAGACCTCAAATGTTGGCCCTCGCTATGGCACAGCCTTTGCAGTGACTCCCCCTGGAGTGAGGCAGTATCCCCACCAATGGAATGATGGGATGTGTGCTTCTCCATCTCCCCATAATAAACTATGTCCCCCCTCCATTCCTCAGACCGCCAGGACCTGGAGCAGCCTGAGAGGGTGGACAAGCTGCAGGAGCCGCTGCTCGAGGCACTGAAGGTGTACGTGAGGAAGAGGAGGCCCAACAGGCCCCACATGTTCCCCAAGATGCTCATGAAGATCACGGATCTCCGCAGCATCAGCGCCAAGGGTGAGGGCTGGAGAAAGGGGCCGCAGCTCCGTGTCCCAAGGGAAGCATCCCCTGGGCATGGGATTGCTGGGGGGGGGGGGGTGCCAGTTTGGAGGTACCAGTTTGGAGATAGCAGTTTTGGAGGTACCAGTTTGCAGGTACCAGTTTTGGAGGTACCAGTTTGGGGGTGCCAGTTTGGGGGTGCCGGTTTGGAGGTGCCAGTTTTGGAGGTACCAGTTTGCAGGTACCAGTTTGGGGGTGCCAGTTTGGAGGTGCCAGTTTTGGAGGTACCAGTTTTGCAGGTACCAGTTTGGGGGTGCCAGTTTGGAGGTACCAGTTTTGGAGGTACCAGTTTGGGGGTGCCAGTTTGGAGGTGCCAGTTTTGGAGGTACCAGTTTTGGAGGTACCAGTTTGGGGGTGCCAGTTTGCAGGTACCAGTTTTGGAGGTACCAGTTTGGGGGTGTCAGTTTGGAGGTGCCGGTTTGGAGGTGCCAGCTTGGAGGTGCCAGTTTGGAGGTACCAGTTTGGAGGTGCCAGTTTGGAGGTGCCAGTTTGGAGGTACCAGTTTGGGGGTGCCAGTTTGCAGGTACCAGTTTTGGAGGTACCAGTTTGGGGGTGCCAGTTTGGAGGTGCCGGTTTGGAGGTACCAGTTTGGAGGTGCCAGTTTGGAGGTGCCAGTTTGCAGGTACCAGTTTGCAGGTACCAGTTTGGGGGTGCCAGTTTGGAGGTGCCGATTTGGAGGTACCAGTTTTGGAGGTACCAGTTTTGCAGGTACCAGTTTGGAGGTGCCGGTTTGGAGGTACCAGTTTGGAGGTGCCAGTTTTGGAGGTGCCAGTTTGGAGGTGCCGATTTGGGGGTGCCATCACCCCCCTGCTGACCCCCACCCTTCCCGCAGGCGCCGAGCGGGTGATCACGCTGAAGATGGAGATCCCGGGCTCGATGCCACCGCTCATCCAGGAGATGCTGGAGAACTCGGAGGGCATGGACACGCTGGGGGGGCAGCCGGGCGGCCCCCGCACAGGCACCCTGGGCCCCCCCCCGGGCAGCTGCAGCCCCAGCCTCTCGCCCAGCTCCAACCGCAGCAGCCCGGCCACGCAGTCGCCGTGACCCGCGCCCGGCGCGCACCAGGACAGAGCCACACGGCAACGGGGTGGGGGGGGGGGGCACCCGGCACCTACCCCCTCTGGACCTCCCCATCGCCCGGGGTGGACTCCTTGGGGAGCCCCCGGCCCCCCCCTTTCCCCCGGCCCCGGGCACAGCGCGTTGGTTGAGTCACATTTCAGGGGCGCGGGGACCGCCCCCCCCCCCGGCCCCACCAGCACCAGCACCCATGGGATCGCGACCACCGAGGCACCCACATCACCCCCCCCCCACAAAGCCCTCCCACCCCAATCGCAGAAGAAGTGGGGGGGGGGGGGGGGGGAACGGGACCCGGCCAGACCCCGCCCGTCGAGGAAGCAGAGTCATTTAAAAGAGAAGAGAAAGCAAAGTTATATATATATAAATATCTATAAATATCTATAAATACGTTTTAAAACCTTTGTAAAAGTTTGGAGGGGTTTTTAGGCCTGTGCAGGTGGAGGGGGCCCGGTGGGTGCTGCCCGGGGTGGGGGGGATGGGATGGGATGGGGGGAGGGCGGGGGAGGTGGGGGAGGGGGCACACGGTTTATTATTATTAAATCTCTCTTTTTTTTTTTTTTTTTCGGTTGTTGTTGAGGTTTTAGTGGGTTTAGAGCCGGGGGGCACCAGGCGGGCCCTGCCCCGGCCCCCCCCGACCCCCCCAGGGAGGGTGGGGGCTGTGGTGCCACCCCGGCCTCACGGGCACAGGGGGGATGGGGAGGGGGGGGGAGGGGGAGGCTGGCTCCAGAATAAAGTTTATTTATTCTAGTGCCTGGCTCGTTCTTGATTTGGGGGGGGGGGGGGCCTTGTTCAAGGCTGCAGCACCCCAAATACCGGGGGTTCTTTGGTGCTGGGGGGCATCCCAGGATCCCTCCTTGCTGTTGTCTCCATGGGGTAGAACCCTTTAGGGTCCCCCCAGCACTCCCCATCCTTTCCCGTTGCTGATGCTCTGGTCCTGTCCCCATGTGCCAGGAACCAGCCCTGTCCCCGATGCGTTTGTGTTCCCCCCAGCCCGGGGAGGGGGACAGCCCTGGGGGGGGGGCAGCAGGGATGGGACCTGTTTGTTTTCCGTTTGTCCGTGTTTTTTGTTCCAGCAGCTGCGGGGCGAGGCCCATCCGCTGCCCACAACAGGAACCGGGGGCTCGGCTCCGCGTGGCACCGGGGCAGCGAGCACCGGGCTGAGAACGGCCACGACTCGCACCAGCGATGGCAGCGCGGAGCCCCCCTCACACAGTGAGGTCCCCGCGGGGCGGGGGACCGGGAGGGCAGCGCGGCTCCTCCGTGCTCCCCGCCGGCTGCCCCGGGGCCGGTCCCCGCTCCTGCGGCCGGTGGCAGCAGGCGGCGCGGGGCGGGTGGCCCTTGCGCAGGAGGTGGCCGAGCTCGGCCAGGCTGAGCAGCGCCGACACCAGCCCCACCACGAAGTAGAAGTGGATGAAGACGGTTTTCTCGGTGGGGCGGGACACGAAGCAGTCGACGCGGTGCGGGCAGGGCCGGCGGCGGCACACGAAGAGCGGCTGCACCCTGAAGCCGTAGAGCAGCGCCTGCCCCAGCAGGAAGCCCAGCTCGGCCGCGATGCGGGCCACCACGCTGCCCACGTAGAAGGGCTGGAGGCGGCGGGTGCGTTGTCCGGGCCCCCCTCCGTGCCCCGGTTTGGCCGCTTGGTGCACGGCGAAGATGACGAAGAGCGCGGCGGGCGCCGAGAGCACCACGACGTGGAAGACGAGGAAGCGGTAGTGGGAGATGGGGAAGGCGGCGTCGTAGCACACGGGCTTGCAGCCCGGCTGCTGCGTGTTGCAGACGAACTCCTCCTGCTCGTCCTCGAAGACGTCGCTGCCCACCGTGGCCAGGACCAGGATGCGGAAGAGGAGCATCACCACCAGCCAGAACCGCCCCACCATGGGCGAGTGCTCCTGCACCGCGTCCAGCAGCGAGCTCAGGAAGCCCCATTCGCCCATGGCCGCCCTGCGGGAGCGGGGTCAGCTCCAGGGGGATGCTGTGCCCAGGAGGATGGACCCCAGCGGCAGCACGGCCCCTCCAGCTCACCCCCATGCCAACCCCAAACGCATAGAATCATGGAATCAACCAGGTGGGAAAAGCCCTTTAAGCTCATCCAGTCCAACCGTTCCCAGCGCTGCCAAGGCCACCACTAACCCATGGCACTGAGGGTGTGGGAACACTTGCAGGGATGGTGACTGCAGCCCTGCCCTGGGCAGCCTGTTCCAATGCCTGAGCACCCTCTGGGGCAGGAATTGTTCCTCAGCTCCATCTAAACCTGCCCTGGTGCAGCTTGAGGCCGTTTCCTCTTGTCCCATCCCTTGTTCCTTGGGAGCAGAGCCCAGCCCCTCCTGGCTCCATCCTCCTGTCAGGCACTTGTAGGCAGCGATCAGGTCCCCCCTGAGCCTTCTCTTCTCCAGGCTGAACCCCCCAGGTCCCTCAGCTGTTGACCATCACACTTGTGCTCCAGGCCCTGCACCAGCTCCGTTGCCCTTCTCTGGCCCCGCTCCAGCACCTCAATGTCTCTCTTGTAGAGAGAGGCCCAGAGCTGAACACAGGATTCGAGGCATCGCCCCGTGTTGCTCACAGGGGGGTACCCGGCAGTGCCAGCCCCGCTCACCCCATCACAAGCATCCCCTGTGCCCCAGGACTCACCAGAGCTGGCTCCAAGGACAGCAGCCGGGGCAGGACCAGCACGATCCCCATCCCTTGTGTCCCTCCCCAAGCTCCTTCCCCAGCCCCATCCCGCTGGGGTGAGCCCCGGTACCTGCGGAGGCTGCGGTCCACGGTGTGCCAGTGCGGCTGGCGGCGGCTGTCCAGGGCTGACCGGGACTGTCCGGTCCCTTGTCCGGCCGGGATGGGATAACGGCCCTGCAGCCACGCCTGGACTCCTTTTAAAGAGACAGAGCAGCCCGGGGGCGCCCGGAGGGGAGGGAAGGGCTTGGCTCTGCCTGTGGCCTTGCCTGCAGCCAGGCTCTCCTGTGGGGCTGGGGCGCTGTGCCCAGGGGATGCTCATTGCTGGTATGAGATGCTGTGTCCAGGCTGCCAGGGCCATGGTGCTTCATAGAATCAGAATGGCCCGTTGGGTTGGAAAAGACCTAACGTTCATCCAGTTCCAACCCCCTGCCACAGCCGGGGATGCCTCACACTTGTAGACCGTGCTACCCAAAACTGTGTCCAACCTGGCCTTGAGCACTGCCAGGGATGGGGCAGCCACAGCTTCTCTGGGCACCCTGTGCCAGCGCCTCAGCACCCTCACAGGGAAGAGCTTCTGCCTTATCTCCAGCCTGAACTTGCCCTATTTCAGTTTGAACCCATCACCCCTTGTCCTGTCACTGCAGTCCCTAATGAAGAGTTCCTCCCCAGCATCCCTATAGCCCCCTTCAGACACCGGAAGCTGCTCTGAGGTCTCCACACAGCTTCTCTTCCCCAGGCTGAACAGCCCCAGTGTTCTCAGCCTGGCTCCATACGGGAGCTGCTCCAGCCCCTGCTCATCCTCGTGGCCTCCTCTGGCCTTGCTCCCACAGCTCCATGTCCTTAACGCTGAGGACCCCAGAGCTGCACACAGTGCTGCAGGTGGGGTTTCATGGAGCATCCCAGGCTCTGGCATGTGCTGGCAGACGGAGCCACGCCAGTGGTGGGAGGCCATTCCACTGGGTAACTCTTGGAAAGCACTGTGATGCTTCACAAGGAATTCTCTATGGCACAGGCAGGGCGATGCCAGTGGCCTTTGCCTATGCCTTGGGATCCTTCGGCAAAGGGAGCAGAGCCCTGGCCAAAGCAGGTCACCCTTGGTCCTCCCTCACCCCTTGTGATGCCCACAGTGTGCTGGCGCCCTCAGCTCCCCCTCCAGCAGCGCTCAGCATCCCCAGTGCCCTGGTCAGGATGGATTTGTGATGCAGACACCGCAATGCGCTTGTGTCCATGCACACACATCGCAGGGTGATGCTGGGGTTACGGAAGCAGCCCCCGGCACAGCCGAGGCCTCACCAGCAGCCGGTCCCCGGGCTCACTGGCAGCAAGAGGAGCTGTAAATAGCTCGGCCCCTCGGCAGGGACGTGCCGGAGACACTCTCCAGAGCCTGGCAGTGGAAAATGTGACAGCACTTTCCACACTTGACTGGGTTCCAGCAAAGCACCTCGGTGGCACCGATAGTGCCTGCTCCCGGCCCCAGTGCCACAGGGGACTGGGGGCCCTGGTCCTGAAGCTGTACAGTAACCTCCAGATGCTGCCAGGGATGTGATTCCAGCCTGGAAAGACAGTTTAGCACAGACTCTGCTCTGTTCTCTGTGTGCTGAAAACCTGTGCAGCTCACCTGCAGTCATTGCCCTAAAGCAGGACCTAGGGCAGATGCAGGGCATCACAGAGGTGCTCACATGAATGTGGGAACAAGGCAGCAAAGCCACAGGCTCAGCTGTGAGGAAGTTGCATGGAAACAGCCTGAGCAGCAAGGAATTTCCTCAGGCAGGGTCCAGAGCTTTCACCCCAGTGCTGCTCCTGCAGTGACCACCTACACCAGCCCCACACACGGAGCAGAGGACTTGGCACAAGCTCTGCGATGGGTATTTCCCTAACAATGCCAAAACTGCCCAAATCAGCCCTAGAAATAACCTCAGAAATAACAAATGTGGTTTGATAATGGAGATGAGACATTTAGAGCCGGCCTGGCAGCAGAGGGTGGAAGCTGATGGCCTCTTGCTCCTGAGAAAGGCAGAGCTTCAAGTGCTCACCACAAAGACAAGCTGTGGCTCTGGACAGCGGGCACAAGGGATAACTGAGGCAACAGCAGCTGAGGACAACTCCTTTTTAATGAGCAAAGCTCAAGTAAAAACCCTTTTATTACATAAATATTAAAAAAGACAAAGGACAAGACAAACACAGAAAGTATTTACATGGACAGTCAAGAAACCACAAGAAGATAAATGCTCTGGCATGGAACTTCAAATTTGAGTGTAAAACCCCAAGGGCTAAAACTCAACATGGCAGAGGCTGAGCAACTGGGGCTTGCACAGACATAAAGGATTAAGAGAAAGAGACACACTAGCGTGGAGTTCTAAAACACCTCCCTGTTACATCTCTATGGTTGTGAATCTTATTATTAAGGTCTCTAAAATGGAAGGTGTCTATGCAAGAGGGTACTTAAAAAGGATTTGATCTGTTCTAAAGTATAGATGAACATTAAAATGACAACTGAGTTGTCAAAGGATTCCAGCTACTAACAGGTAAGAGGAGGGAAGGGCATCAGCACCAGCTGGGTGTGTGGCTCCAGCGTTCCCAAGAAAGGGGGAAAGGGGGGTGGGGGTCCTGTTTAAACAACTCAAAGTTCTTTAAACCCAAGAAAAACAGAGAGATATTCACTTACACCAACACATTTAAACTAGCTTTAAACTCAGTGGAAGTATTCACTACACCAAGATAAGGATGTTCTTTGGCGAGAGCATGTCCAGAGCTCTGCTGATGGGTTCAGCACTTTGAAACTCTTCTTCCTAATTCAAAACGAGTCGTCCTCCTCTGACTCCTCCAGGTACTGGACTGGCTTCTTGAGACGCCCGGGCCTGCCACGGGGCACGGCTGCGATGGGGCTGCCTCCACGAGCACTGGGATCAATGGTAAAGCTGTCGTCGTCCTCTGGCTTGGGTTTCTGCAGGGAAAGGATGGTCAAGAAGTGACTCAGGACTCTGAGCAGAAACAGGGAAGGCTCAATTAGCCCTTAACACCCCACTGTGTCAGGGAAAGGGATGGTTGGGCTGATGAGACCAAACCAACAGCCTGGGATAACCCTGCTTCTTGCCCACCCCTCCCTGCACCCCCGGGCTGTCATACGGGAGGTTCTACCTCTACCACACTTTTCCTGCCACTCTCTATGGTACCCCCTCAGCCCTAACGGGTGGTGGAGCACAGACCTTTGCTGCGACTGATTTGGAAGGCTTGGAGCCAAAATCTGACTCAGAATCCGAATCCGAAATCAAAGCAGTCAGCTGCCTTTTGACGACTTTCCGCCCCTTGGTCTGCACAGGCTTCTTGTCACCCACTGCTGCGGCCTCAGAGTCCAGGGATCCCTCCTTTGCTGCTGTCTTGGTAGCTTTGGGTGCAGCCTTTTTCTTGGTGAGAATATCCATGATGGATGGCTGGTTATCTGAAAGAGAGCTGTGTTTAAACCCTTGCTCTGCTGCCTCTCTTCTCCTTCACAGCCTGTGAGTGACTTCCAACACAAACACGCTCTGCACTACGCTGTGAGGCTGCGCTGGTTGTCTAATTTTGAAGCATGGTTTTCTAGAATGATCACTCTTTACCAAGATGAGGGGAAATGAAGGGGTTTATCTGCTCAGTGCCACTGCATTTAGAAGATCAAATTAAAATGCACCCAAAGCAATTTGCAGGCTATTCCAGGTTGAAAAGGCCTCAACTCTCAAGGCTGTGTCACCAATCTCACACCTTCAAAAGTTCTGCAAAGGAAGGAATGAATTTCCTGTCTACACTAAACCCTTTCTGGTAGAGTTCTTCCTTACCTACATTTTTTAAACAGCATTTTGAAGCCCAGCTCCAAGCTGAGCTGAAATGAGCAGGCCACTTCTGAGCGATAATAGGCTTTCTCAATTTAGGAGCGGAAGAAACAGCTATTTTGCTGTCAAGTAACATGCTATTTCACTGCTGGGATCAAAACCAGCTCGTGATGGGATATGCAAAACAACTCTTCAAGTTTGACACAGATTGGGCACCTAAAAAAACCCTGAATCAAATGTGGTAGATTTATGGGGTTGAGCTAGCACTAAATAGTTCAAGCTACCCCAAAGCAGCTTGGCTTCTTCCTGGGAAGTGAGCTACCACGCTGCTTTCTTCCCAAAAAGACATGAAGTAGAACACTGACTGCAAGACACAAATTCCACTCGGATTGTTTCTGCCAAGTATTACATAGCACCGTAGGAAGCATTCACTTTTCCTGTTCCCAAACTAAAATTCACTCCCTTCAAGCATGTCTGAGATAAACTCAAGCATGATCTGCTTGGAAACAGACTTCTTTAAAAATGACAACCAGGAAATCTTTGCCACAAACCTCAGATCTTTTTGAAGTGAAAACTCAAGTTATTTGGGCCTCTGAATGCCTCAAAATCACTCAGACTGGTTTCCCACAGGAAAAATACTTGTTCATCTAGAAAGGTCACTAAGGTAAACTTCTTACCCTTAGTGGCCCCGGCCTTCTTAGCTGCAGCAGGTTTTTTAGCTACAGCCTTGCTGTGAGGCACAGAGGCAGAAGAAGCTGCAGCAGCTTGACTCTCATTTTCATCAGCAACATCCCGAACTTGAGCTGAATAAAGAAAACAGAAAGCAAGTCTGAAGCAGTCAAATTTTATCTATAAACATTACAGCAGAAGAAAATTGGCTTAACCCACTCTATAAAAAGCACAACTATTCAAACTGGATTTATCCCAAGTCCAAGTTGGAAATGGACAAGAAGTCTGGTGCCCTGAAACCACCTTGTACCACATCAGTGCCCTCTCATGGAGTTATAGGTAAAGCATGGAGGTTTGGAAGGTCTGGTACTCACCAGGGATAGTGCTTTGCACTGGCTTTTGCTTGGGAGCTTCAGCTGCTTTTTCAGTGGTTCCCCTAGAACACAAGACCCCAAAGTATTTTTACAATGTGCTAAAAAGGTACACTGAAGAAAATGAGCTATTAATATCTATAGAGCAGTCACACTAGAAACACAACTAATTTCCAGCGACTATGCAGAGAAACACTCACTTTGGAGCAGCTCTGGGCTTGGAAGGGGGTTTTTCTTTGGAGTCTGTATCCGATTCAGTGTTGCCTTCACTGCTGGCCTGAAATTTAAACTCCTCATCTGACCTGGAGGGATCTGAATCCGAGTCCGAACTGATTACGGTCTTGACTTTGGCTGGTGAAATGACACAGATGTATTTTACACATTTGGCAACATGAAACTCAGTTTCCTTTTCCTT